CAGTAGCCAAGTTGAACAGAAAATACAAACAAAAACTTCAGCAGAAATTAGAATATTTTAAAGTAGAAATATCTCAGCAGATTTTGCCAAAATCCCTGCAGGTGTCCAATCTCTTGTGCTGGGCATTCTAGCGAGAGTGAAGAACTTGCAGAATAATTTTGTAAAACTAATAAGAAAGTTGTAGTAGGGTTCAGTCTAACAGACTGGCAGCTTTAAGAAGCAGCCAAAATTTTGGATATATGTTTTACAAACAGGGAATTGTTTGTGTAAGGTGAGGAAATCATAAATTAAGTTAGTATAGCCAGCTCTTCAAACAATTAGGCAGACAGACAGAAATGCAGTCAAAGTAAAAGGGAATCCATGACCCAGGAAAACTCTTTTCTTCTCTTGAAAAACTACAATATTATTAAATCTGCATTTACAAGTACATATGCTTATCTTTAAAGTGTGGGAAAATTAATCATTTTACAGAACTGAATACTTCAGTCACTCAGTGATGAGTGTACTGGGTGCCATTTTATAGGTGAAATCTTTTGAGTGAGACGTCAAGATCAAATAGGCTTTTACCATATGATGGCCTATTAGGAAATATGTCCTTTTGACAGAAGGCTTGTAGTAAATAATAAAATAATTTATTGAAAATTACAGTGAAACATAGGTAGCAAGCAGATAGCTAGAGTTCTGAATTCTTCACCTGAATGGCAAGATGTGTCATGACAGGCTGACACGTTAAACAGTTGAACAGTAAGCTAGGAAAGTGCAAGTGGTTGCTAATGGGTGGCAGGTGTTTTATGGCATTACATTCAGAGGATGGATTTTAACTAGAATAATTCCAAAATGTATGTTAGCTCTACCATAGACAATATAAACTCTTGTGTTGTACAAGTCACAAGTTTATGAATAAGCTTCCCAAACACACACTAGTGCTCGGGCCATTGACATCTGTATTTTGGATTATATACTTCAACAACAGGTAGAAAGATATTTAGAATTCATGCTGAATTCTATTAATCATTTGGAACAGTAATCTAGACAGTATTTTCCATCAGAGAGTTCTCAAATTTAATTCTTTTCAACTTTCTCTGAGAACATGTCAGAATCTGACCCTTCAAAAAAGAATAAAATAACGGCCTCTGACCTTTATTCTGAGGAGATGGTAAGCAGGGTGCAATTACTGCCCCACTTCAAAACTGAGTCAAAGATAAGAGCCAGAGTATGCTGCAAAATAATAATTAGGAACATAATAGTACTTATATAGGGCTTTCATTGCCAGTTTCCCAAATAGTTATTAGTTACTCTACAGGCCAGACTGCATGAAACTTAATCAGGAATTTTAAGTTGCAGAAACTGATCAACTCATAAAATCAAAGATCCTGTTTCCATGTTAATATTTTTGATAATAATAACAGAGGCAAAGAAATGCCAGGAATGTATAATGTAGGCAGAGTATCTATGAAGACTGTGCATTTTTTTTTTTAGTTTTCAGGAAACAATCACAAGGTTTGGAGCCTTGTTACTGAAAACAGAATATTTTCCATCATGCATAGCAGGAGCATCAGTTTTATCTAACTGCTAGTAGTTAATCAGTTCCATTCAATTCTGCCTCCTTTCACAGTAGAAAGAAATTCTACTACAAGTCTCTTTTAGAATTATTTTCCAACTTCACATATTGGGCAATTTGAACAAGCATTTCAACTTTAACAATGGTTTCTGGATGACTGCATAAATAGAGAGTCATTACTGTTTAAATGAACAAAGAAAGCCTTCAAGCCAATGAAATTAAGAAAAATATCCTAAACCATTAACAAAGCCTTTGGTACCTTTGCCTAATGTGTCCTGTATTAATCATGGACAGAAAAAGAAACCAAATGTTACACTAAGGAACATTAGCTATAAGCACTAATGGGAAAAGGCTATACAGAATAGTTATTTTGTTCAAAAAGAAGCAAAGCTCTTGAGAATTTAAGTTCTGTGAAGTTTAGAACATTGAGTATTCACTAATAATACATAAAAAAATATGTCTGTGCAGAAAATTTTCTTTGTTACTATGTTCTGTTGGCTAGTTTGCACTATAATGTATTTCATACGCAGTAGAGGTGCACCAGTAAAATTTTCCTGCCAGCTGATGTTTCCTGACATATTGACCATTTGCCAGAACACTAACAGTTGGTGTAAGCAAAGTGCCTAAGCCATCATAGCATAGAAATTGTTTATCCACAGATTACATGGTATAGTTGCATACAATTCCAGGGAACCACATGTGATTAACGAGGTGGCCCATTTCCTCCTGTCTTCCTAAATGAATAAAGTTTTCCACTGCCTGGCACTCTGCATCATCGTTTACATTTATGCAAAATGAATGCAAGATACTATCAATTTAGAGCAACAGCTTCTATCACCCATATTAGATTCATTTTGCACAGGGCTGGACAGTAACAAACAGGGCAGAGCATCTCATAACCAAGAACAGTAGTCTCCTGAAAACGTCACCATTTTAATGTCAGAATGCATATATAGTTCTTGCCAAATTTATCTTGAAATTACAAATTGAAGTAGTGTCCTTCCCCACTTCTCTGCGTCTTGAAGGCAGGAACTTTTTTGCGGTCTTTAAAAACATTGTTTTTTCTTCAAAAACGTTTCAACAACAGTCGATAAACAAAGCTTTGGTGCACGCTCCTTTGATCAAGCACAGGCTCCATTGTGCTAAGCAGAGCAAAGCTTTCATGAAGCTGGAGTCAAAATGCAAATAAACTGCATTTTCATAGATTAAGACTACTAACCTGTACATAACATTCAGAAACAGAGCCAAAGCAGACCTTGCATCAGCATGTCTTTTATAAGATAAGGAAAGCCAGGTACGTGGGCATACCAGAAGTTTCTTGTGTCTACAAAACTAATCCAGTAAGAATATCCTGCAGCAATCCTGTTTGTAAGGTGCAAAGACATCTATCTTAGGTGAAGATACGACTGCTGCCAGTAGAATAACCCAGATCCTCACTAGCTTTCTAATGAAGGGGAGAGGGATACTATTATTTCTGCTTCGTTCAGGTGCATGGCTTCAACACAGGCATGAAAAATGAGCCTGAAGGCTCACAACTGGTCTGTAGCGGAGAGAGAAGAGAACCCAGATTTCTCCAAGTCTGGACAATCAGTCATATCACTGATGACATTTTTTTTTTATATAAGGGGGATAACAGAAAGATATGCATCTTGAAGAGAAAGCCATGCTTTGCATACCAAACTGAGATTAAAATAACCAAAAAAAGAAAGAAAATGTTCTTTGCCCGTAGAGACTTGAGATTATCTACCTTCTGATTCTCATTTGCATGAAATTGAACTAGAGGTATAGCCTCTAGACTATAGCCTCCAGGACTCTAGCAACAATAGCAAGAAAAAAAAAATCATCTAAAGTAACGACTGAAATTCTGAAACACTTGGAGAATGCAGAAGAGCCCAACCAAGACAACAACATATTGGTGCTATGAAGGTAAACCAAATGGCCTCAATCTAACCAGAGTTATCACCAAATAGATGGAAATCCTCACAGAGCTAGAGATACAAAACAGTTATTTCTTATTTAAAATACATGAACTTTGAAATATGTCAGTTGCCAAGAAATGATAGCTGCAGGAAAAAGGCGACCTTTTAATACTAACTATTGATTCTAGAGTATTTTCAAACAGGCCCAATTTAGGTGAACTAATTGAGCAAATTAGACCCTGCCTTTCAAAACCCAAGAGGAATTTACTAAACAATCAAGAATTTACTAAACACGCAGCACTTAAAACCACCCAAAAAAGGCCAGTTGAAATCCAGGAGTAGCACATTTGAGCCACATTGATGGTTTTCAAGTCCATCACATGACTATCACTTTTACAATAAAATGTCATTTTCAGCAAAATAGTGATCTTATAAGCAATATAATGAAATGATCTTATATAGCTGAACTTTCAAATATCCCCCCCCAAAATGTAGGGAAATTCCTGGCAGGTATAAAGTAATTTGTCTACTTAAATTACAATTTTCAGACCCAACTTACTTCTTTGTAGCCGAAAATGATACGCCCATCATTGAGAAGGGTGGCCTGAAAAGTGAAACTGCCCAGGTTGTAATTATCCTGCAGATGTACATGGTCCCACTGGACAACTAGTGCTGTGCCTGTGAACCCCAGAGTGGGGGTAGAGAGGCAAAGGGAAGGAAAAAATGTGAGAAAAATATTAACTGGCTGTAGGAAAAGTACTTAACTGCAGTTACTTGAAACAAGAACAGTGATTTGTCTCTTTTTAGCAACTTTCAGCCCAGTATCTTGAAATGCCAAAGATATTACAAATACGAGTTGCAACTGAAATCCTCTTAAAGGTAGACACCACAGTGCCACAAATAACTACCTCAACTACTCGCACAAAAGTCTGCTAAAGCAAGAGTGGCCAGGTAACTTGGAATTGCACAGAGTCAACAATCACTAAGGGTAGGATCCAGCACTCAGAGTTCAGGTGTGCTGCCACAACCACTGCTCTGCAGTGGCTTTTTTTACACTATATATATACACCCTGACTTTGAAATGTGAAATGCTAATAGCATTGCCTGTTTAATAAAAGTTATTATTTGAGGAATTCAGATTCTTCCATTAACTATGCATTAATATAAATAGCATTAATTTTTTTCTGCATGGTGCAAGCCCTTTCTGACGTTCAGCAAGTTGAAAAATATTAGGTGTTGGCAATAAATAAATGTAGTTTAAATTAAAACCACTAAGAATTCATAGATGGGGTAAATATTGAGTCTGGTGTGCAGAGATTTAGTTGCAAGAGGCTTGTTAATATTCATGGGAGTCCTCTGGCTGAATATCCACTTATTGTACCCCAAGCAACTTGCATACCCTGTGAGCATGTTTTATAGATGTTGAGGGTTATAGACACATTCAAGCAGCGTGGCTGAAAGACACTTACCACCAAAGCTGTGTTTACTGAAAATGACTTTTTCGTCTTTATATACCTTCCTCAGTAGACTTCTCTCTTTGGCACTATTGGGAGTTGTGTGCTTTGATACACAGCACTTTAATTTTATTTCTTCCTGGAGTGTTGAAGGTGGGTCAGTATGCATCCAGCTCAATGCATTTTTGATATATCCTTGAAACATCTTTTGTCACAGATCTTCTGTGCTGTAACTTTCATTAACACATCTCGGCAGGGGATGCCACGAAACTATGAGCATGCAAATTTTTGGAGCATACTGCACTAAGTCCACCACATTATTGTCCCATGTGTCTTTCATGAGTCTAGTACATGCTCATTAATTGTGCACACAGTGCATTTTTCCTTCTGTGACCACATTCACGAACTGCTCTCTGAATATTTATTTGATTGTATTAAACTTCATTTTAAAGGAATTTAAAGGGACTTTTAAAATTATTGGAGCAAAAATAGCCAGAACTTCTTATATTCAGTCTTTGAGTACCTCAGATCCACGTGCATCTCAGAACTCCAAGCTAAAGTGGAAGTCAGCTGCCTCCAGAACAGTCTTCTCATGCCCAGGGCCTTTATGTAGATTCATGTGTACATAAGTCCCTGGCAGTTAGCTCTGTGAGTGAGGCTTGGATGGGTCACCACACTCTGTGCTTGCTCACTACAGATGCTGCTCTAAAGCAGCACACTTACCCAGAAGGATAAAACAGGGATAAATAAGGAGCTGAAGATACAATTTGCTCAGTTCCTTTTTATTTGGGGTAAGATAGCAAATTCTTTGTCCTAAAGCACATGAGGTCCAAAAGATCATCATGCCTTACACTTGAAGAGGGATCCAAAATCTCGAAGAAGTATTCAACCTTGTCATGAAAGTAATGTGATACAGCCTGATACACCTGGTATGAAGACTGGAAGTCAGGAATACAATGAGAATTAGCAATGTCTTCCTCAGAATCCTCAGATTCTTTCAGTAAAGATGACAAATCTCAGGCCATAATGTCAAATAACTTATGAAGTGAAAATAGTATTTTTTTCTGTTTGAAAATTCTCCATGCAAGGAGTAGGATTTTGTCATGTAAGTCTATTTTATTGGATTTTTAACAAATAAATGCTGCAAGTAATGATTAGATTGAAAGGAAAGGTTATGACTAGGTGCAAAGGTTATAGGATACATTTTGATCCCTGATCTAAAGAATAAAAATTAACACACCTGGTTGGAAATGTGACTTATTTTTGGACATGTTCATAATTTGTGCTTAAATTCACTATGAATAATCATACATAGAATGGCACAGGCTTATCCAGGAAGATTTAAAACAATCATAGATCTCATGATATTAAGTCACGATACTAAACTCTCTAAGTTTTAAATACAGAATAGACAGTTACTGCCATTGTATTTGATCACTAAAGGCCCTAGGTAAGGCACCAGATGCCTTTTAATCACATAGGTTATGTTTTCAAAATATTGGTTATAGCTGACTTCGTGATACAAATATCCACAATTCAAGGCCTTTGAAATATCTCACAGAGCTTCAAGTTACATTCACTGCAATTTGCCTTTTACCCTTTCAATCTTTTGTACAAGGGTCTATTGAGAACTTGTGGTGTAGATGAGTATATTGGATTCCAATCCTGGAACTCCATGCACACTTAGTCATTGACAGGTTTATTAACCTTATACCTGCCCTGCTTCAGTGTATTCTTGCTATTGCATTCCACAAATGCTATTTTCATTTTAGTTAGTGGGTGGACGGTATTTACTACATATATTTCGAAGTAACAGGAACTTGCACTTTTATACAAGACAGATTTTTCCTTTTAAAACTGACAAAATACATTGCTAGCTTGAGTTTATGGACTTTAACATCCAGAAGATATCTGTCCAATTAGGAAAAAGCATTCATGACTCTTTAACCATGTTCTAATTTAAGAACTGTTTATGGATGTCTAGCCACCTGCTTTATAAAGCCTGTGAGTTAAAAAAAAGAACAAAAAAAACTTTAAAAAATCTTCAATTTTTCCTTCAAAAATAGTTATTTAGGAAAATATGAAGAGCCAAGGGACACACACATTAATTTATGAAGGTCTACTACATACCATTATCAAAGTATCTGACTGTTGAATTTCTTGACACACTGGGGTCAAAATTTGCCATTAAGGGTGCAATATATTGTGTAGCTGTTAGCATTCGATGCACAACTTCTCCAGTATATATGAAACCTACAATAAAAAAAAATATTGAGACCATTTCAGTAACTTCTGAAAAGATTTAATAGAATGGCAGGTTGAACTAGGCATTGCCAGAGCATTAAAGGGTCATCTGAGAGAAATTAATCCCACCACCAATGTTATAGCGAATTAAGTAAGAGCTAAAATTTCAGGAAGATGTCTGTGATGGCTGCCAGAAGAACAAGATCCAAGATGAACACGGAACAATTATTTCAAGAAGCAAGTATTCATACAGAAATAAAAACAGAGCAAACTCAAGGAAGAATAACTCCAGTTACGGACAAAATGCAGATATGTGGCATTATCAAAATGAGCCATTTACTACCATGCATATTCCATAGTGCTTTCTATCCCTTCCAAAAATCTGCAATTTGTTTTGCTTTTGCAAACTGTTACCTCTTCAAAAGTTAGTGTAACCCTTTTTCATATTTCTAGAGACACAGAGTAAGAGACTATCTCAGACAAGAAGAGATGACAACCTTTAAAAAAAAAAATCAGATGAAGAGTGGAACAGATAGGATTTTTTCATGATTATAAGCCAAGCAGCATTTCTGCTACATTCTCTGCAGTGTCAGGTCTCACTAGTTTATCCTATTCATCCTTGAATCCACAGTACTCCTCAGATCAATAGTGGGCTCCTTCCATCAGAAGTGCTCACCCAAAACCTCTTACTGGTTTGGAACTGGAGTTCTTCCTTCAAGGAAGAACAGTCATCTACAGTGAATACAGTAATGCTGCAGTTTTCTTCAAAGCAAAACTTTGTGTATTTTAATGGCAGGAAACCCCTGCTATTTTAAATGACAAATGGTCTACAAATAAATCTGTATTGTTTAGGTTTGCCAATTCCACTTCAACTGACTGATGGGACTAACTTCTTTAGATGCCCCAACCTAAAGCCTGACTTAAAAACTCCCATCACCCTCGAGTGAGTTTTTTCTTAAGTTTTATTTTAGCTTTTGCCTTGCTGGTCAAAACTGACAAACTTCAAGTTGATTGGAGATACAGATAGATCTCCAAAACTAAGGTTTGCATATTACCTCTCCTTTTAAAGTGTTTACCAGATGGTGCCTTATGCTGAAGTGTTTGCTTTTTCTCCTTCTATTGATTTAATGAAGTATATTCCAACAGCAAACACCCCAATAACAACAAGACTATTAGAGTTGGCTGAAAATTTTCTAGCAGAAAAAATTCTGTTTGGAAGATGTCTTACAGAAATTCAGTTCTTTACTGGCAAATGATAGTATCCACTGCAACAGTATTTATGCTGGTTTGTGTTTTCTTTTCCTTCTTCGGTCATATTGAGAGTCTCTCTTCCTCCACAACCCCTTTTACTGTCAAGCCCAAGAGGTCCTTTCTTCTCACATTTAGTATCATAGCAATACAACACATGATGAAGTAGCATATAAATCTATCCCTAAAACACGATTGTGAAATTCCGGAACTAAACACAAACCTGAACAACTGGAATTACCCTCAAGGTAGAAATACCATTTTCCAGTCAACTCCAGTTAATATATGATATTAAAAAACTATTAGTGTGCAACCCCACTTTCTTAACAATAGTATCTCCATCCTAACCACTGTGAGATGAGACAGGTTTGTTAAAAGGCTTGTTTGATATGATGTAGGAAATCTCTGAGAGCATGAAAAAAATAACAAGTTTCTGGAGTGCTTTAGGCATCCTTCTATTCCTGTCCTCTCCTGAAACATGGTGGTAAATGCTTCCTAACTGTTCACGGAACTACTTCGAGAAGTCATAAGGTGCTATAAACAAAAAACCAAAAAAGGTGGTTCTTTGGAATAATTTTCCTGCATGGCTGCTAGCAGTTAAGATCAAGTACCATGGTGTCAACTCAAGTGGAGGTGATAGGAGACCTAAGAAAGAGCAAGGTGGGGAGAAAACACAACAAAAGATTCAGTTGTAAACATTTGGCATTGACAAAGGGATGAGCTAGGAACCTAGCTGCCTTTTCTTCATTTAAAACACACCTATGTATTCAAATGATACAGTATTTTAATATCTGGACACCTCCTAACTACTAAATTAATTCTTAGGACTAAACTACAACTGTCTTTTTTTTTTTGGGGGGGGGGAGATTCTTTCACTTAAATATCTAAATACCACTTTTCTCTTTTGCTAATTGATAGGGAGAGAGAAACACCAATTAAAAGAATAAATCTACCCACACATATATACAAGTCATGTATAAATCGGAACTTTCAGAATATACAATTATGGCTGTAATTTTACTCTATTACTCATCATTTTAGGGTAGCCAACAGTCCTGCCAAAGTATAGTCCCTGAAATACATTTTCATTATTTCCTATTTATTGCTGTCTGCTTCTAAAATGTCATTCCCTTGAGAAGTATTCCCTCATGCTTATTTAGACATCTTAAATACATATCATTTCATAGAATATTTGTGCCGCTTATTATCCCTATGGTCATGTGCACACATATTTTAACACAATCTTGGGTAGGTCTATAACCTTGAAACCATTCCTCAAAAATATTTTGAAGACAATATAAACAAAACCTTTGAATCCATATTCATGTATTACAATTAACCTTGATACTTCAGTACTTATTCATCCCTTGCATAACGGTCCTATCTTTACACACAGTTTCCCTTTCATGCTTTCATCCCATTTACAGTATAAATGTCACCATTATAACTAATAATGAGGCAGATACAATAGGAAAAGAAAGGACTTAATTGTGCTGGAACACATAACTAAGTAGATCAGCCCAGGTAATTAGTAACCACAGAGAGTATTTCCAAGTGTTTGCCGGATGCAGCTTTACTTTAGACAAAAATGGAAAGCAGGAGGTGGATGATAGCTGGGAAGCAGGCAGGCCTTGCATGAAGATCATTCTAATGAGAACTCCAGTCATGCGTTGAAACAGCTTGAAAAGAAACACAAAGTCATTTCAAATCATCCCAGAGATTCAAAGGCTGAAGCCAGTGTTGAGCATGGACATTTTATCATTGCCACCACGGCTTAAAGAAAGCAGCAAATGTAAAATTAACTTATTCCTGAATGGACTTCCGCAGAAAATTGGCTTATACTATCTGTGACCTAATTTTCTGACAGTGGTAAATGCCCATGGTTGATTCATTTAGTCAAGGAAGAATTTTTCAGACCTGCAATTTCCTGAACCACTTAATCTCTCCTTTGTGGGTGGGGTTGGTAGAGCTCTTTTCCAAAACTCTCTAAAAGTACTATACCTAGAAGCATAATATGCTCCTACGTACTGGAATGAAGACAAATAGGAAAGAATGCTCAGCATTTTGTAAGTTTAATATGTATATATAAATCTAACTAAAACTAAGGATGAACTAATACTAAAGCCACTTGTAAATCAAGGAGGGTATACTCCTAGTCCTGATAGTGTACAAATGCACACTCACACACAGAGGAGGGGGGGGGAATA